TTATTCAAATTGTATTCCCATCACCAGTGAGTTTATATGTGTCAAGTAGCTAAAGACAGGTTATGTTTCTAACACTGTGAAAGTGTCATCCACATATTTCCACCATATTTTTGGATTAGGATTAAATGTATTTAGAGCAACATCTTCCCAACTGTTCATAGAGATATCTGCTGCGATAGGGGATATTGGTGATCCCATCACTACACCATCTGTTTTTTTATATATTTTGCCCTGGAATTTAAAGACAGTAAATGTGAAGCATAACTGAATTCCTAAAATAATTTTCTCAGTGAGCAGCTTCGTCTTTTGACTGAGTTCGGGATCAGAAGTTAGTTCCCTTGTAACTGCTTCTAAGGACGTATTGGTTGGTATATAAGTGTACAGAGTAGTTTTATCAAAACTGATCATTTTGACTATAAAAAATCTTATTCCCCATCTGATTGTAATTGATCTGTAAAACTCATATTATTATTTCTGAATGTACATTATCCTATGTTAATTTTTATTCAAATGTTTGATGAATTCCACTCATGTATATAGATGAAGTAAAAAGTTGTGTGAGTGACTTGATATGATTATGAGCAATAGTTTATGCTTGAAACGTTATCAGTTAATATTACTGTATAACACTATGTGATTTACCAAGATAAAATCTTATCCATAATGGAGTTATGCTCTACCACAGTGTCCTAGTTTTATACTTGTATGAGTAACTTAAAGGTTTACCTTTCATACAGCTTTCGTTGATGAACATTAATATTCGTGTGAACAGTCGGCTGAAGTCAGCTTATCGCATATAGAAAATCCTATTTTTTCAGAACTTTCATTTTGTTGCTCCTCAGCATAAATAGGAAGCAATCTCAAAAAATGTTTTGCTACTACATTTAATCATAGAATACACCAAAATACCCTACATAGCACAAAACTTGTATGCAGAAAACCGCTAAAAATATTTTGTTAACAAATAAACAGCTACCCTAATTTTACGAAAAGTTATGTTTTGTAATCTGTATATTTATTTATTCAGTCCTCAAGTTTATTCAGTAGATGATTTTAAGAATTAATTAGTTGTAATAATAATTATCGAAAGTTACATATTATGACTGGAAAATTTATTCAGAATAAGGTGATTAATAATCTAATCATTTATCGAACTCTCTATCCTCTACAACTGAAGTTCTTTAAATTCAACGTCCATTAATACTTTAAAATGTTACATTTCATACACTGTTTTTAGATTTTAAATCAATTTAGACATCATTAATCATATTGGTGAAAATACTGTTGCCACAGTTATAGTTTATTTTGATGACGTGATTAATACCTGCTGGGTAGCTAGCTAGTGTTATGATTAACTAAGATGAGTTAAGAATCATTCGTTTGCATGACAGCGGATCATTCATTACTTATTGGGATTTCAGTGAAACGATTTCCTGGTTAGTGTTCGCTCAGTTGGTATAGTGCCACTAGTTAGAATCCTGCTATCACCTAGATTTTCATTTCATCCATAAGTGATAGCAGTCCGTTGAAATCATTGGACTGCATCATTTTCTGCGAAGCAAACTGCTACAAATTTACACAGTTGTCCTTTACTTTAGCCTAGTATTTACACCTTAAAAAGCATTCTGCACTCCCGTGCATTTTTGAGTGGATTTCAACAGACCGCTTAGCCTGTTTTGAGGTAACGAATACATCGGGGTTCGGAGCATGTTTCAGATAGAACTTGAATCCCGTATCTTTTCATCTCTATTGCAATCTGGACAGCTTTGCCAATCTCGTACATGGTGCGGACGTTCCATGTCCCTACACAGACTTTTTCTTTTGGCGCAAGGAGATTCATCGTGCTTAAGTTTCTGTAGCAACTTTGTTTACAGGGTGGGGTTGCTAGCCTCACGCCTAACAAGGGGATTGTTACATTAAAATATAGTTTACAGAGAAGCGACCTTCTAGGTTGCTGCTCTTAAAACCAGGAAAACAAGGAATAAAACAATCAAAACAACACCAGCGAAAGGAAAATAATTCACAACAGGAAGGGCAACAAGCGACAACAACAATAAAAAAGCAAAACGTATCACAGTCAGATAAAGCTAACAAAAGTGATACCAAAATCATAGGCACACAGACTTGAGCCAACTTGAACATGTTAATCCATCAATATATACAATTATAACTACAATTATGGATATCAGTTAGTGTTAGTCAGTTCCAAAATGGCAATCAGATAGTTATAGGTATTATCCAACAACAAGATTATATTCACAGATTCAGTGTTTGAAAAGCGAATAGTTACACTACTTTCCGAAAGTTCTTGGCAAGAAATTCCACAGAAATAAGAGTTTTATGATACTACGTGAATGTAGCGTAGTAATCGAAAAGCGCGTCAAGGTCAGATAAAGCTAAATTCTGTCGAATGATACACTGTAGATTATGGTTCAACAAAAAGATTTTATTTGAAGAGTAGATAAAACTACGCTGAAATTTCTGTACTGTATACCAACATGTCCAGAATAAAGCTACAGTTATTATTCTTATTATTACTAATTTAAACACTATCACATATAGTCTAACTACCAATTAAGATTAATTTAGCAAATATCTGAGCAGTTCTTCAACAGACGTTCTTGGAATATTCTTAAGACTGCCTAATAATTTTAATTGCTAATATTGATAATTTTATTCTAAAATACTGACATCTGCTTAAGGGAAGGTTACAAAGTATTTCAAAGTTTACCACTGTGAAGAATGCCTAACTATGCTGGAAATTACATACGATAAAGCGTGAATCTGTTGTTTTCAGGCTACCATAAATTTTTAATTAAGCTCTCAAAGTGAACTTTTAGACCACCTTAAATTTGTCCTTTTTTCACCTTAAATTATGCGATTTAGTCAGTTAAGAACTCTAATTTACGATATTCTGTTATAGAAACTACATGAGAGATTTCCAGTGTGTTAAGAATGGATTAAACATAGTTAAATGAGCTAGTGTTAGTGGTCAGTTTAAGGTGATAATTACTGACTGCCTACTGTGTATTTCTGTGCAAAGACATTGCACTATGTGAGGAATAAAAAATTAGGCACAAAATTACTTTGACAAGCACAACAGGCTTTTATTTTTGCCATAAATGAATCTGATGAAATGAATTATAATTATATATTTCAATAGCTGATGAACTTGCATCAGTGTGTGGATAAAATCTTGTTGGATTATTATTATTATTATTGTATCCTTTAATTCCTAGAGGAATATAGGGCTTCAGCCGTGCGTCTCGATTGCGTTCAGTTCTCTGCTAGAGTCTTCACCTGGCTCCATGTCTGCCCACACGCCTTCATCTCCTCTTCACATGACCTCCTCCAAGTCACCCTTGCACTGACGACCAACTCGCCGCTTTCCTTTCGGGTTCCACTCAAGGGCTTGTCTAGTGATGTCACTTGATGGTTTCCTAAGAGTATGGCCAATCCATCTCCATTTCCTTCTGCATATTTGTTTCAAAATCGGTTCCTGATTTGTTCGCTCCCAGAGATCCCTGTTGTTAATCTTTTCTGGCCGGCCATTTGATCTTGAGTATTGAGCGAAGACAACTGTTAATGAAGGTCTGTAGTTTGTTTGAGATGCTCTTTATGACGCGCCAAGTCTCTGATCCGTATAGTAGCAGTGACTTCACATTGGAGTTGAAAATCCGGATCTTATTTTTGATACTGAGTGTTGTTGACCTCCACACAGACTTGAGAGTAGTGAAAGTTTACCTTGCTTTTGCAATCCTTGCCTTGATATCCTCGCTAGTTCCATCCACTTGTAGTTGAAACTATGCTTCCCAGATGGGTAAAAGAGGATGTTTCTTTCAGGTTCCTTCCATTTACGCTGATTTTTGTCTACTGTTGTTGTTGCTGTTGGTGGTGTTGCCCAGGAATCTTCATCACCTCTGTTTTCTCTATGTTCACCTGAAGTCCTATCATTGATGCTTCTTCTGCTAACTTGTTGCTTTTCGCTTGCATATCTTCCAGTTTGTGGGAAATCAGACATATATCATCGGCGAAGTCCAGATCCTCCAAGTTTTTTGTGTGAGTCCATTTTATGCCTGTTTCCTCATTGCCCGCTGTATGTTGCATTATCCAATCTACTGCAATCAGGAAAATCATTGGCAATAGTAGGCAGCCAGCTTGTCTTACTCCTGTCCTCACTTCGAAGGATTCCGTAAGTTTCCCGTTGTGGATTACTTGGCATGCAGCACTGTCGTACAGCTGTTGGATGAGATGTATAACTGTCGGTGGCACCCCGTAGTAGCGAAGTAGTTTCCAAATCACCTCTTGGATTATTGAATGCATATTGTATATCATTTGGTGAGTGACTAAGGGAAATATTTCTATTTATTACGGAGTTTTTCTCAATGTAGCCGAATGTTAAAATGTTGACTTGGAATTTCTAGTTTCCTTACACATTCAACTTAACACAATGACTGAGTGCTGATTCGTTTAACTTCAGTTGATTTGGCTTAAAGTCAAAACTAGTGATATTTTGAACAATAACACGACAGTTATTCATAAAAGTTTTCTATCAATCATTCACATGAAAACCACGAGTATGATTGGCTGAAATTTGATTTTTAACAGTCTTCCTATAAGTTAATATAAGTTTCTACAAATAGAATACATTTCGTAGGGTGCAGCAGGTCGGGTTTGACGACAAATACTCGCCACGAATGAGACTGGCTAGCGGACGCACTACGTCGTGAATTGGCAGAAATGGAATTCATGGGCCATTGGATCGGGTTCTAGGGGCTTAATCGTCTACAAGCACGCTAGCCTTGTAACAAGGTGGTCCCAGGTTCAAACCCCTGTGGTGGGTGCGCACTTATGAAGAGTCCCGAGCTCATGTGAAACCCTGTAACCAACCAGTCAAATCTCTACAAACCAATACTAGAATACGTTTTCTAATGTTTCAAGGTTATCTCTTTGACTTCATCCTACTAATCCTTTTTTTTCTTAACTTGAATTTTCTTCAGAATATCAAAGATGTGAAGATTTAAATCACAAACACAAAATCAACAAAAGCGATGACTTTCAAAACTCAACAAACCCACATAAACTGGAGGATGAAGATTCACAAACCACATGTAACCATTTGAATCATACTTCTTTACTGTCAATTTATTCAAACTGTGATAAACAGCTAACTTCATGTAATATAAACGATGTATTCAATAGATGTTGTAATCCTTTGAATTTTCACAACATGTGGAACTCAAAATTCTTCCTACTAACAACTGATGTAAATTCCATTGTTCAGTTAATGATACATATTACGAAGTTATTTGTGAATAATGAAGAATCATGGTCTGAAATGTTAACTACAATACAAAATGTGATCCTGTCATCAGGTAAGAATTAGTAATTGTAACTTTATTAAAAATAAAACTGACGAATATAATTTTCTGGGGGAGTTTTTTAAAAATAGCTAAGGTGAGGTAATGATGATATGACTTTCATCAGAGCTATTTCCTTTCTTTGGCGTCGGTGGTGTCAAAGTAGAATGCTTGCCAAGCATGTATGTGGTTTGGAATTCGATCACTGGTCAGCACACTCTTAAACCTCGTTTAGCAGTCAGCAAACCAGGTAAACTGAGGGAAAGTTAGGCGTACGACTGGCAAGCCCACGCCATAAAAATTCAACACCACTTCTACTGAAACTTCTAAGCTTAAGCTTGAAGCCCTTTGTTCCACTTAGAATGTAGGGGGATTAACTAATAATAAAAATATCATTATTCTAATATCATTGACGAACTCTCTGATAATTTTATTTAAATTGCCCACATGATAGATCATTCACTGTTAAAGTTCGTATTAGTCAAGGCGAGCAGTCATGGAATATAATAAACCAACTGTTGGCGTTAAACAGAAAAAACATCATTTCCTTCTTTTTATTTCTTTGAATCTCGAGTCGAAAATATATAGCTTGAAGCTTTGAGGTTTCAGTAACAACAGAATTTCTTTTGCAGTGTGGGGTTGCTAAATACACTTTCTGCCTTTCCTCTTTCCCGAGTTTACCACTGTCTAGTAAAATAGATGGGGTCCGGGACTGCGTCGACGGGAAATCCAGTCCCAACTTCCGACATACTTGGGTAGCATCGTATCATATGACCCCTGACACACTACGTTTACAAGTAACCAGTTCATTTCGCTTGACGATCAGTCCCATGTTTATATCAATTTTAAAACCTCTTTTGCTTTCAGCAAAACCATACATTAGTATGTCTTAATTACCTAGTTATATATATATATATATATATTAGTAAATTGAATATTCCCATAATTTATTCAGAACAAAATATTTAGAGCGAACAACTGTTTTCAATAAATTCTTCTTCAGGCTCTACAATTATAAATCCATTAATTTAAGCATATATATATATATTCGTAGTTAAATGTCAAGTGGCAAAGCAAATTAACGTCATATATAGAATAATTCATAGGATGGATAGAACTTGAAAAAGGTGTGCAATTATAAGATTAGTAGACAAATCGAATAAAATAAAAACGTTACGTAATATTGTGTGAAATTTAATAGTACAGAATTTAATGTTGCATAAAGGAATTGATTTAGAATGACAAGTGGAACAAGTGAAATAATACCGGGGACAATTAAAAGTGAGAGTAGTAATAGTAACAATTGACTTAATAAGGAAGAGTATACAAACTGAATAGACAAAAATGAAAAAATGAAAAACTGGTAGAGCTAAAATATGATTGGAGATAACCATACTTTAGCATAGAGGGATTAAGACCATGAAAGTTGGAGGGGTTGAACGAACTTTTTCTGTACACAGAGATCTGGCTTTTCTGCTTCGATAGCCAAAGCTTCAGCAATACAGATGAGTCGGGTACGTAGGGATCTGGGTAAATTACTCTTTGCCTTGTAGATGACTTTGAAGGCGGAGGCTATAGAGATAGGGTGATCATTATCGACCAGATGTTCGATGATCGCGCTTCTTATTGCTCCACTACCGCCTTTTCGTAGCCATGCAGGATAGTGTTCTTGCACCCTCTTGGACAAAACTCGAGTCGAACGACCGACATACCTAGCTCCACACGAGCAGGTGAATTGATAAACACACATAGAGTTGGTCAACAGCGGGATCTTGTCCTTCAGGTTATTGAACAATAATGGTCGACTAGTAAAGGCTATTCTCAGAGATGCAGCAGGGAATGTTTTTTCAGGGACTGTGATATCCTTCGTTTCATGACATCGGAAGCGAAGTCCCCTTTGAATTCCAAGCTCAAGGAAAGTATCTTCTTGGGTACGGTTGATAAGTCTCCTTTTTTAGGATTTGAGTGTATATTCTTATCTATAAAACGTGGTGGAAATCAATTTTCTATTAGGATTTTCCTCAAGATGTATAACTCATCTCCCACAGTATCAGGGCTACATATGCGCCGAATACGAGTGGCAAGCGACCGGATCAGGTTTCGTTTTCGACCAGTGGGTACCCAGCTGTAGAAATTTGTCAGTTAACCATTCCTTGACAGCTTACGATAAATCGATCTTTTCAGAGTTCCATCGGTCCTCCTTGATAAGTTCATATCGAGGAAATAAATGCTAGACTCGTTCTCCATTTCGAGTATGAATTTTATCGCCGGATGGCAACCATTAAATACATCTAATATATTATTCAATTTACAATCACCATTACAAATAATAAAGGTGTCATCTACATACCTTTTATACATTTGAAAGCTTTGGATTATAGGCTTCAGCTGATCATTTTCTAGACTGGACATAAAACAGTCTGCAAGGAGAGGACTCAAGGGAGAACCCATTGCAATACCATCCTTCTGTTTGTAGATTGCTTCATTGAAAGTAAACTGTACATTCAATGCACATCTCAGAAGTAGTTCTTTCAGATCTGTAGTGGGTATCCCTATATATATATATATATATTTATATTTATATGAAAAACAAGGAAATATACTTTAATAATTCCCACTGTAACATTAAGAACACAATATTCAACGAAGAGACTCTTTTCAACGAATTTATTATCAGGCTGTACAATCGTATATATATATGGTTTATTAGAAATTATATCCGGTGAGGGAATTACATCAAAGATGTAAATACATGAAATAATAATAGTAGAATGAGATTCAATTCAAATATTTTTGATTATAATCACAGTTCAAGGTCAAGTAATGAAACAATTAGTCTCAAAAATAATTTCTAAGGCGTATGAATTTTGGAAAGGGGTGTATAATAATAGGATTAGTAGGCTAATATAAAATGTTACATAACATGGTGTTAAATTTGATAAGATAGAATTCAATAATGTAAAAACATTTTGGATTTACAATGATAAGTGAGAAAAGCGGAAACAATTCAAAGTGAGAATAGTAACAATGATAATAATAGTAATAATAATCGTACTAATGAGGTAAAGGTACATAGATTAACTAAATAAACAAATAAGTAGATAACCATTTTTCCCTCTACGGTGAGGTAGAAGTAGAGATTGTACATACTTCTTTGGTACACAAAGGTCTGGCTTAAAGTCATGAATTGCGAAGGCCTCCGCTGTCTTTAAAAGTCTACAACGAGGAAAACGTGGCAAGTTTTTACGGATTCGATAGATGATCTTAAAATTATGTTCAGGATTGGTAGAGTGACAGGAGTCGATCAGGTTTTCTAGAACAGAGCTTCGCACACTCTTCCTTTCGCTCTTGTAAAACCATGCTGGAATATGTTCTCGTATCCGTGTGGAAATATCAATACATATAATTTTCAATGTGTATGAATTGATCATCGTATAGTTTGTTTATCTCTCTTCTACTATTTTCTTTCTACTCGGAATCTATTTTGGATGGGGGGGGGAGGAAAAAAAGCACAGTTTTTTATATATAACTACAAAGAAAATAGAATTTTATAGTTTATTTATTTAAGCCAGTTTTTTGTCATTACAGAAGCTTAGATAAGGGAGAAGGAAAATTGTAGATAAGGCATAATAGTGAGTGGAAAAGGAAATATTTATTAATTAGAAGATTTAGTATCTGGGTTTATTCTGCGTGTGTGTGTGTGTACTATTTTTGGTGTGTGTATGTTGGGGGGGGGAATAAAATGATTGACTTAATTAACTAAAGTTGAAATATTTCCACCATCACCTGTTTGTTACCTGATATGTTAATACTTTCAGATGAAACTGATTATCTAGATTATAGGGTTTTTGTAGGGATTAATTTTATCATAGATTTTGTCACAAAGCAACACTAGTTAGAGATCATCAAAAACCTTGGGGCATTATTGGACAAAACTGTTTCGTTCTGGTTTTGGGACTTCTCAACAGTACACACCCACAATCCTATCATGAAAAGAACTGAGGACCTTTGCGTTATGATAAAAATGTCGCTGACCATTCCTCCACTATGACCCTGGTTAGTTCGTAGGTTGCACTGATGGAGGGTCCCTAAACAAGGACGAAGCAACTGTCCAGTGCTCCTTGGTTTTCAATGATCTCTATGACTTATACTGGCTCTTGACGAAATCCATATTGAAAATTGACTATTTTCGTAAACTTTGGGTAAAATTGTGTTCGTTTTTCCACAACTTATGAGGATTATTCCGGCCCAGTGATATAAAAATTGAATCATTGAAGCCAAAGAACTTATGAAGCCACTTCGACTTTATTCGTCTAACCTTGTAGACTGAGTCATAAACGTGGTAACTGGGCGTGTTCTTCCATTCTTCACGTTCCGAGTTGAACATCGACCATGAGACCTCAAAGCCTCGCTAGTGGTTTTGTTCGTATGAGATTGAGTTTCTAGCCTCACGCCTCACGTGAATTCTCCTCCCCAAAAGTTGCTGTGTGTTCTCTGTAACCAATAACATATTTTGGACACCAGGACTAAAATATCTGTCATGAATTAACACTTAAAAGCTCAACAGTGAATGCAAAGATTTATGCCAGTCAAGTATTTTCACCACTCTTAGTTATTACTCTCGTCTGTGACAAAAGCGTTCAAAAATGCCAGTCAGGAGATTGTTTTTTATGTAAGAAAGACCTTCTTAAAATTAAAACTGCATACAGATAATTCCATAAATTTTTGTCTGAACATATTACTTATTTCACTTGTCTCGCATACGTTTTTCAAATTAATCTATTTCTCGCAATGTGGAAATTTATCATACCAATTCTCTCACTGTGTTACATAATGTTTGTATTTACCTACTAATTTTGACAATTTTACTTTCCATTTCCCAAGATCTACACATCGTATGAACAATTTTATGCAAAACACAATTTGTTTCGTCATTTGATACTTAACTATAATCATATTCACAAACATTTTATTGCATCTCACATCATTAATAAAAGTACTCACACCTAAGAGTT